CTGACTGAAGCTCTCTGGCAACGATTGCAAGATCAGATCAATCGCAAGTTCCTTTCCAAGGGGAAACCCTAATCTGTCAAGGTTCTCCACATACCCAATCATCTTGAGTACATGGGGACTTACAGGGGCTCCCTCAGCTAACTTGCTGTTAAAAAGGGACTTTGAAACCTGAAACCTCTCATTTCTTGCTTGCTCTTGATAAAGCGTTTTCAGATGTCCGATCATATCGAACGCAGACATGTTCTCGTGTTGCTTTTGCAACTCAGAGTTCATGGTAGCAAGCATGAGGCAAGCGGTTTCATTGGCATCATCGAAATGCTTCTTATAAGCATCTCTTTCTGCCTTTGGTGCAGAACTAGGAGGTTCCTCCTCAGGAACTGGTGTCTCCAAGACATACAGCTTCTTATCGTGCTTGAGGACAATCCTCAGATTACGGTGCCAATCCAGGAAATTTGTCCCAGACAATTTTTCCTTATCTAGGATGGATCGCAAAATATTGTTCGATGTGTTTGTTGTCATGGTAATCTACAAGAGAAATATGAAAATATAAGTATCATTAAAACAACATATTTAATTAGGCCTTTAATCAAATATGCTCCCACTATTTTATTCAAAACAAATGACCCTCATCATTTGATTCGGAAAATCCCGTTGGAAGACTTTCTAGTGGGTCGAGATCCATGTTTCACTTTGTTTTAAGTCAGCGTTAGGCTGATTACACAAAACTAAGTTATTTAGGTAGGAACTCCTTCCAATTGTATCTCATACAACTCTCGAATATTTTCAATTGGGTGAATAACTCCTTATTCTGATCCATCACATGAATCATTCCCAATTCTTGCTTCTAAACATATATAATCTTATTATAATTTGTTTAGTTAAGTTTGACCCATGGTTTTAGCAATTGGATATTACAATTATCCCATCACACCTTATTAATATAGAACATGCACCTCGCGTAGGCGAAACCTACAATGCTCGATACTAGTCTTGATGAGTGCTAAAAATTGGAAAGCATAAACTTAATATTTATTTTTGAGGGAATTTGTTATTAGTTTGATCTCACCGGCTTAACATGCAAAACGTCTCTCACATGCATCAACATACAATTACATGCATCAACATACATATAAAAAGATACAATTATGGCCCCTAACGCAATTGTTCTCTCAAGCCAATGAGAGAACCTAAGCTAACCTAATAACGATCTAAGCTTCTCCAAGCATGATCTCCAAGGTTATCCTCCTTTAATATTGAATACTTCCTCCTCCTTTTTTTTTTCATAACATAATATTACATTACATATAGGAAAACTCGTTTTACATACGAGGGAGTGAGATGAGAAAAGAAGTTACATAAAGAGATTGAGAGAGAGGCACGACACGCAGGCCGTATTCAAAAATCCCAAAATAATAATAAAGGAAAAACTAAGGCCATAACTGATCACCACAAATAAATAATAATAAACACACTTTTATTATTAGTTTAAAATTCCGATAATTAAATAAACTAAATTAAATTTCGGCTGATTGATCACACTTTGCAGACTTAGCCGGGGGTTCCGCTGCCCGGTCAGCGGACGGTGGTTCCGCTGACCGTTCAGCGGACGGGGGTCAAGGGGGCAGCGCCTCCTTGCGGGGTTGTCAGGGGCAGCGCCCCGGGGAAAAATTTTATGAACACTTCATTGTATTTCACGTCGTTTCCTGCACAACTTTTGTGCATTTACAACCCCAACCGGAAAAGTCTGCGGCAATACAACACTTGTACTGCCATTAATCCTAATGCAACAATTTCATGCCGTCAAACACAACTCAATTGATAACTCAATGTGATAGATCAACATGTCATTGCTTCACCATACTAACGTCGGATTCCGAAGCGAATGAAAATGATTATCTTTCAAAAGAATTACAATCCTTATGTGATTGAATGGATGAAATCAAAACAGTATATCCCATATACCATCTTTGCATCAGAATTTCTTATATCTTATATAAAAGTGATTGATCTAATTGTGTAACCTATGGATGATCAATGTATCGCACAACTTCACCATACTAATGTCGGATTCCGAAGCATAATCAACATCAATCATCCAAATCGTACACAACAGATGCCAAATTTAATTAATCGTTTATTGTTAAATTCATTCTGTGTTTTAATCGAATCAAATACAGAAAAGACGGAAATTTAACAGCTATCAGATCCATGGTTTCGTAAGTGGCTCTGATACCACTGAAGGAAAATTGCGATCTAAACGCAGCGGAAAACAAAAATTTCCTTTAGTGATCCTTACGAATGAGCATGGTCAGTGATAGAATCGTTACCTCTTTGTGGCGATTCAGATCTTTGATGCAGCGATCACAATCGTTGATGAAGTGCAACGCCTCTACTCAGTCCACACGAACAGCTTCCGGTCACAGTGCTAGCTGCTTACGAACGGAATTATTTGAGTGAGAAAAGAGAATCAAAACGAAATTGCATCAAGTGAAAGCTTCATCACAAGGGTTCCTTTTATAGACTCTCTTGTGGGATGCGGGCTAAAACCCAATTCACATGATCCATAATAATATTATATATTATTATAATAACTATTATTATAATAAATATATTTATTTTATTATTATTTTATAACCATTATAAAATAACAATAATTATTATTATATTATCCGAATTTATATTTTTCACTTAAGTGCACCGTACCTTACGGTGTTCCTTTTTTGATTTCTCTATCTCTCATCAAACTGTCCTTATGTGTGTGACCCTGTAGGATTTCGTAACGTTGGTAATTATATTAAATTATATATTTAACATAATAAACAGTAAGCGGTATCTAGCAACACATCACTGCTACCCAAGTCACGAAAATGTCATATGATCTGACAAAACCTTTTTCGTGATAATATATGTTTGTACAATTACCCTTTTGCCCCTATGTCTATATTGAACACAAGGCATACACTGTGTCATCCTTGTCCAGTTCAATATTGGGCCCTTAGACATTTCTCCTGTTATGCAGGATTGGCAAATTCCATCTAGGACACTCATGTCCCTCAGCATGCTTCGTGGAGTGCCCATCAACTGTCTTTATGATCATCCAGTTACGGATAATGTTTGATCAGCAATAAAGCACCCGACTCTACATCTAGGGTCCATAGTGGTTTCAGGTCGAAGGGTGGTAATACACCATTATCACCATGAGAATAACTTATGACACTTTGCATAACATACTATGTAGTATTCTCATAGCGGGTCAATCCGGTATAAATATTACTCCTAATATTTATACCTATGTCAAGACTTGATAACTCTTTATCCATGATCCATGAGATGTGATCATCAGTCTATCTTCATAATAGTCTCAATGCTTTTAATGTTATCCCACTTTGCAATAAAGCTTGACTACGGATATTTTAAGAATAATGTCTTTATGTTTAATGGGATCTCATGATTAAGTCACACTTAACATTTCATTAAACAGACTAACTATTCTAGGGACTTTATTATTCTGAAAGACAAACATAATAAAGAAATGCCTTTTATTATTAAACGAATAATCCGATACAAGTACCAAAAAATATTGGCCTCTAGGGCTTACACCAACAGAAGGCAGACATAGATGAAGACAAATTTGAATATGAAATAAAATTGGACATGGGGTGTTTAGTGCAAGATCTGACATGTTTTCTAATGACAACAAGATCATCTATATCAGGATACAAAATACGACTCTCCGAAACAGAGATAGACTTACCTTTCCATTTGTTAGGAGGTTGATCATTTTCCAGTTCAGATTCCTGGTAGTGTTGAGATGTGGACTCACCCCTTCGTTTATGGTGTTTTTTCATAAAAACCTTCCCTTTCCAAATCCTGTTTCCTAATTCGAATTTGTTTTCTTGAAGTGACTCATTATTTTGTGGCATTTCAATTAGATCATCATTATCATCGTTTTCAGAATTCTCATTGTTTTCTACAAGAGAAAATGTAGGCTCGAATTCACAAAGCTCCTTACTCATAACAGGAGTAGGATCAGATACATAATCATGACCATTTTCTGTTGGTGCAGATGTAAAAGTCTCAGAATTTTGTGGTACAGGCAAAGATAATTTTTTCAAAAAATTCATGTCCTCAATTTGAAACGAGTCTTCCTTTATCTTCCCCTCTTGAAGATGAGTGTCATCAAAGAAAGGTTTATTTTCAAAAAATGTAACATCCATAGTGACAAACATTTTCTTGTTTTTTGAATCAAAACATTTATATTCCTTTTGGTGTTCGAGACTGCAATGAAGGCGATCCAAATGCCGCAATTAAGACGACTAGGGACGGACCGCAATGAAGGTGAAAATTCCAACACATTCCATTAGAGCTTAGAAGAATGCTAGGAAGACTCATTTTACCACTCGCTTTCCAACGCTCACTCTCTAATTTGGTGAAATCACGAGGGCTCATTGGGTTTCATTGGGTTGGAGATAGGACATCGCATTCAGATTTTCAAATGAATATGACACATTTAATTTTATCAGTTTGTATATGCTCCCTAATAAGATTAGACTGAAGAACAACCCTAGGTTTCCTACATTGCATCCCATTAGAGCTTAGAGGAATACTAGGAACACTCATTTTACCACTCTCTTTCCAACATTCACTTGTATTTGGTGAAATCACGTGGGTCCTACTTAAAAATATGAGACAGTCATGATTTCACCAAATAAGAGAGTGAAAGATAGAGAGGGTAAAATGAGTGTTCCTAGCATTGTTCTTAGAGCCTATCCTAGTTCAAATATTGGGTCATTTGTATAGGTTCAGTATTGCAAACTTTATGCTCTAGCTGTTTTCGGGGTGAGGGTGACTAAGGCAATCCTCGCATATACAAAATATTTACCTTGAAAGGTGCCTAATAGAAATGTTGGAACAGAAAAGCTGTTGTTTCCTTAAAGTTGTTTAAATATTACTGTGTCTGAAATTTTTTTTTGAAGCTTTCAAAAATTGTTGCCTTGTAGACATACAACATCTCTTGCCCTGTATACGAGGAAAACACTTTTAGCTCTAAGGCATGGCAATGGATCCCGTGTCTCCATTCTCTATGGACATCATAATTCAGTGGTTAGTCTGTGCACAGTGCACGTTTTAGCTGATGTCTAATTTATAGTTTTATATGCACTAGTCATTTGTTCTTTGACTTTAACCGTTACAAGACTTATGGTCATTGGTTGTTTTTTTTAATCAAGTTGTTGTTATTATTATTACTAGCGTTCAAACGGGCACTCCGTGCCCATTTGTCCGCTTTTTTTATTATTATTTATGAAAACTGTTTTCAGTAATGAGAACATAGAGAGGAGTTCCAAGTGATTTATTGGATAGAGCAACATTTTGGTATACTTGTGTTGGAATTGATTGCATCACAATAGTTAGTACAGAATTGGAGAACAATTGAATCCTAAGGAAATGACAATATTTCTTTATTGTTCCTGTACAAACTGTGCTTAATAATGCCTTCATACACACAAACCAAGATCACTTGTGCAATTTCATATTTTTTCTAAGTTTATCATCCCCTTTAAGAAATTGGAACTAGTAAATATTGTTTTAAATTCATCCAGGAAATGTGTCATGAAATGGGTCCGATAGTTTCGTTCAACTTGAAAAGACCAGATGGTTCTTGGTATGGATACCGGGAAGTAGAAAAGCTGGCATCTCTTTCAGGAATTCAGCTAAGGGTATAAATGTTCATCTATACCTTTTCTTTGCTTTTGCTTGTTTATATAAGTTCACTTACCATCTTTTTAGACAGGATGCTTCTGCAATCCAGGTGCATGCGCAAAATACCTTGGCTTATCTCATACAGATCTCATTTCAAATACTGAGGTGTTCCTTTTATCTGCTTTTGTTTGCTAAAACCTGATTATGATTGGCTTATCTACATGATAGTGTTAAACAATGATAACAATATTTTTGTATTTAGGCTGGCCACGTTTGTTGGGATGACAATGATATAATTAATGGAAAACCTATTGGTGCTGTAAGAGTATCCTTTGGCTACATGTCAACATATGAAGATGCCAAGGTTTAAATTTTTCATACCAATTTTCTATTTTGTTAAACTTTTGAACCATCAATATGGAAAATGCAAAACATATTGAGCTAAAACAAAGTATCAATGGATATGTTTCTTCCAATTGCTAATTCTATATTGGTTCTTGCTTGGTGTGTCAATGTTGGATTAAGTTTCATTTCTCCAGATATTTATTATCCTTTTCCTTTTTCTTTTTATTTGCAGAAATTTGTTGATTTTCTAACAAGTTCCTTCATGTCACCCCAAAATCATGTTGACAACGGGAGTCAATTGAAAGGTTCGCCTCCTTTTTCCAATATTAATATATCCTTCATACTTGATGAATTGAAATTTATGAAGCACGAACTCCGACACGGACATTGGGATATGACGCAGACATGGACACTCCAACATTGATAATGTGGAAAAAATAGGACACGGACATCACTCCATATATGATAGTATTCAAACTTCATTTATCCATCTATTATTAAAAGAGTTAAAAAAATTCTAATCAAAATTAATGTATTTAATTATTCGTTGATAGCATTGTTTCATTACATGTTTAACTCTTTTAGATGTGTGAGATTTGTCCAAGAAATGTATAAGGTGTGTTGAAGCAAAGAAAAAGACATTTTTTTTCTTGAAACACTTGTCTGAATTGTCCAACATGTGTTGTATGAGTGTTAAACAGGGGTTGGACACCGATTCAAAGAGTATTGAAACAAAGAAGAACACTATTTTTCTGGGACACTTGTCTGACTTTTTCAACATGTGTCGTACAAATGTCATACACTGACGCGTGTCGGACACTGCGACGCGCCTACTCGTAGAGGTGTCAGTGCTTCATAGATTGAAATCCAGATTGATTATATACTTTCAGTGATATGGACTTTGACTTTTCTAACATGTATCGTACAAATGTCATACACCAACATGTGTCGGACACTGTGACACACCTACTCCTAAAGGTGTCAGTGCTTCATAGATTGAAATTCAGATTGATTATATACTTTTAGTGATAAGGACTCAGACTTTTATTCCTTTTGTATCTCTGGTTTTCTCCTTGAAGTCCATGAGTTAACGGCAAAAATAGATTTGCATATACATATAAAATGCATGTTCTTAATGCAGCTACATAGTAGACCCGCTTAACATTTTCCAGTCTGGGATCCTTACTAGTACATTTTTAAGCAGGTTTCTTTTAATAATGTCTCTAAGGGGTTTCTTTTACTGATATAACAAATTGATTATACATGAATTACTTAAATAGAAGACTGAAATTTGGTGCTGAAGTGCTTGAGAGATTGACTCACCCTTGTGAATTTATAATAATTATAATAATATATGCTCAATCTGAATCCCTTGATTATAGGACTTAAATCAGCGAATTTACTGATTACATCTGAGACTATATATGCAAGGAAATAGGGAAGTTAGGAAAGAGAATATTTACATAGAGAAAAAAAGAGAAACTCAGAAATAAGGAAAGGCTCAATAATCCCCCTCAAGCTATTGCATATATATTATGTATCCTAAGTGACTTGGTAAAAATTCTACCAGGTGATCATTGGAATTTGTGAACAGCCTACCAACTAACAACCTCTCTCTAAAGAATCTTCCCACCGAAAATATAACAATCAATTATAAGTATTTGGCCTGCACATGGATTTGAAGCAATATGCATGGCCACCTGATTGTCACAAGAATCACAACTTTCATTATAAATAATATCAGGCTGAGAGCTAATCTCTCAAGTTGTTCAGTACCAAAATCTTGCTTTCAAGTGTTATTTACATGCAGGTGTGAATGGTTCCCTAGATACCTGTTATTATCTCAAATCAATTACAATATATCCAATAAAATCCTGTGGAGGTTTCAGTGCAAGAAGTTGGCCTCTTAGCAATAATGGTAATCATCTAATTTTTGCTGATTGTTTTGATTTTCCATTTTCATATTAGGAGTTAAGAAGAATAAGCACTACTATGTACTACCGCATATTAAATTTATAGTGTTCGAGAAGGGGAAAGTAATACTGAAGAGTATTAAAGTCATATTGATATTATTGTGAATGACATGATGTTAAAAGTTGAAATATGAACAAAACACCAAACTCTATTTGTACTAATAGAGGACTTAATCCTAAGAGATCATCTTAGATGCTCTATGCTATACTATAACTATGACATTATCATGACAATATGAGATGTCTTCTAGATATACTGTGCTTTACACGATATTCAGATTTTGTTGCATGTTGCTGAACTACCTGAATACACAAGCTAAGAGGCCGAGTTACCTTAGTACATGTATAATACACTAAAAGCAGCCAATATAGTGTTTTAAAGAGTATGGAGAATTTTTGTAAATATTTTAGTAGTAGCACTATTTTAGCATTGAATATTTCATTCTTAATCTACTTTATCTCTCACAATGATAGTATATAATTATTAGGATAAAATTTTAACCTGCTGTTAGAACCAACTCCTAATATTTATTATTAGGATTAGAATCAGCTAATTATATCAATTGACATTTATTATATTCTACATGCTATCATAAGTAGAGGTAATTGTGGTCTGATTCTGACATACTAGTATACCGAAATTCCGAATGCCAATTGACTTTGCTACAGTTATCTTTGGTCGCACTACAACTTTCTGGCCACAGCTACAGCCCTACTATTCCTATTTTTCGCACATTGTAATTTTCATCCACATGTTATAACAAACTTAAAGCTTATTAAGATTTAGCTTTACAGGAAGTGTTAAAATCAAGTCCTACTATTTATTTTTAGGATTTGATTTATTTTTGTATCAGCATTAGAAGGAATAAATCATATCAATTAGCATTTATTCTATTCATTCTATATGCTATTAGTTCATTTTCTCAGACTTTTTTTTTCTTACGTTTTCAATATCTTAATTGTCAATCCTCCCTATTCTGTTCCAATTATTCAAAATTAGTTCAATGTAATGTTTTGGATAAGGATTCTGTTTATGTCGTTTGGTAAAATATTTTAATCTTACTGTTAGTGTTCATAGTCGTAATTCATTTTGATTGGGCTTTTATCGTATAATCCACTTTTTATTATTTTTAATTTTCACAAAAACGAAAGTTATAATTTCCTCTAGTTTTATCTTTGAGCTTTTCATGAAAATTTGTTCTTTAAATGTTTAGGAAGCTTGAAACATGATCGTGAATGGATTCTCAAAAGCCTGAGTGGTGAAGTTCTTACACTGAAAAGGGTAATTCGTTTTATAATACATAAGCTCTTTATTTAGATCATCTGCTGATGGATCCAAATTTCAGGAACTGTACTTTTTTTATGGTCAGTTCTAGTAATTCAGTTTTGTTTAATTTATGTGAAGATTCAATTTTTCTTTAATTTTTTTTTTTGAGTTAGTGGAGGTACGTTTTTGTCTACTGAAATTAAAGGAGTTTTTTAGATAAGGAAGGATGAGAAAGAACAAATACTTCAAAATGCTTTTTGTTTTTATAATGATTGTACAAAAGACCGAATTCCAATTCTTAGAGTTATAGTTGTACTAAGCTCTAAACCTATTTAAATAAGAAAGAAACCATGGTATTGCTAGATTCATTATGTTCGTCTAATTTAATTTATCTACTAGGATTAGTTTCTAATATTAGAGTATCTCAGATTAAAATATTGTGGATTTTCTGACTGAACCATACTTCAGAATAATTGATCTGTATTAGGCAACAAACTCAGTTTTTGATAGGTCTCATTTTCTCATACCTCATTGAGCTTTAGTGGGGCTCTTAGTATTCTCAGAGTGGGTGCAATTCTCTGAATGCAGTCATACTGATTGTAGCTGTTAGCTTAGTTCAGTTTTGTCCGGTTAGATTTGTTGCTAACTAATTATGTTCTGACATAATTTGTTAGCTATAAAGCTTTTCCTGCTTAATGAATATGGATCTACCAAGTCAGAATATGAATAAGAAAATCAAAATATTCAGTTCTAAGTTCTCTTCAAGTTGCTCACTCTTCTCTCGCTTTTTATTTTTTCTCAGAGTTCTTTAGGTGTTAAGCTAACATACTTAATTTTGTTACCTTTAGTAGTCTTCAGTGATCAAATTCCAAACAAGCATATCTATCATTCACCCTTTCACTTTTCAAAAGCTGACACTTGATTGTAAAGTTTGGATTTATTTGATCTTAATTTTGTAGGTTCCTGAAATGGGTCTTATAAGCTCCTTTATTGACCTCAGTCAGGGAATGTTGTTTGTAGAGTCTCCACATTGCAAAGAAAGATTGAAAATCAGGCTTGAGCTAGATTTTTATGATAGTACTGTACAGGACATTGAACTGCATGGCCAGAGGTATGTGATGTTATGCACGTTATATATCTTTGTATAATTGTGTATATATACTAACTCGAGTAAATTCTTGTAAACATAGCATCTAATTCTAAGGTACCGATCTTATAATATGTGTTGTAACTTATAAATAATCATTATAAATAGTAGGAATTAGTTTGTATTAGTTGTCACAGGCTAAGTTGTCCGGCCCACTTTCTGTTTGCTGTTAAAAAAATACACTTCCAATATAGTTCAATTTATAAAATTTACCACAAATGTTTATAGGAATATCTCTCTCTCTCTCTCTCTCTCTCTCTCTCTCTCTCTCTCTCTCTCTCTCTCTCTCTCTCTCTCTCTCTCTCTCTCTCTCTCTCTCACACTGGTACACTGGGTGAACTAATGGAATCTTACAAAAAAAATCACATGCAGATCAGTAGTTTGTTGTTGTATTTGCTAACGCTAAACTTTAAGAAAATTCTAAATTGGCTTACACACTGTTTTAGTTTGGTATTTGTTGCATGGATTTATTTATTTTGTATTATTATCTTTTTCATTTTATGGCTTAGGTACAAGGTATATAGTTACAACAATGAGACCAATGCTTGGTTTAGTGAAGCTGTTGGAAGACCTTGCACTTTGTTACGATATTCTGGTTCCAATCATGAGTTTGTGTTAAATAATACCAAAGACGTAGTCTCGTGTAAAGATACAAATAGTGCAGTCAGTTTTGCAAATGAAGGCCAATTTTTACTTGTATCTGAGGAAAGTGTTTCTGACCTAAACAAAAGATTATGTTCAGGTATTTTCTTGCACCCTTGAGAATTTAGCCAAATATACATGCTTGATTGAAAGTACAAGTGTACTTGCAGTGAATTTGTGAAATGCTTGATTATCAGAATATAGCCACAAACTCAAGACTTGATATTTAAACACACTTACAGTTAATTACACGATATGTTGACAAGGAAAGTTGAGAAATGTGCATGTTTACAACTTCATGACTGTTTTAATCATTGTACATGAATCTATATAAGCACATAAACCCAAGACTTCAAATATTGTTATATATGTAAACTTGAAAAGAAAGGTATGAATTTGATTTCTAATTCAATGAGTGGTGTACAAAGAATGATTACAAATCAGACATGTAAGCTATAATAGAAACCACATCTAGAATCAAAACAGGGAGATAAAAGTTCTAAGTTAATCATTGGTACATACTTGTAGTTATAATATAAGTAAGTCTTTTGAGGCTCCATCTTGTATTCTCACGCTAGTCATGCCCTTTTACATATCTTGGGTTGCATAATTGTTGACAATATGATCTTATTCTCCATAACCTTATACAAACCCTTTTAAGAATATTGTATATCTTTTCAAAATCAATGATGCAAGATAGAAATGAAATTCTTTTAAAGAAAGTTAACTTTCATTTTCAGCCGTACTTGTGCCGATCACTTGTGTATTACAAAATCTATTAGTTACACTGTTTAGTCTTCAACTCCAAGTTGCAGAATATTGAACATTTGACAACTATCGTTGATGTTATTCCTAGATGTTCAGAAGGGCGTATGCGTAACAGCAATGAAAGTCAATGTAAATAGATTTCGTCCCAACCTTGTGGTATCTGGAGGCAGGCCTTATGATGAAGATGGATGGAGAGACATTACGATTGGAAACAAGTGTTTCAAAGTAAGTTCTAACAACTTTCTAAATATTTGACAACACATATTTTGGAATTTTGCAGTTTGATGTGGACACTATTGTAGTTAGATGGTTCTTTGACTAACATTTACTTGAACCCTATGTTTAACTAAGACTGAATTCATGGATGCTGATCTTCATTATCTTTACAAGTTTGTAATTTAGTTTCCATATGCTCTGCAGTCGCTAGGAGGATGCAATCGATGCCATGTAATCAACCTTTCACTAAATGCCGGGCGAGTGCAAAAGTCGAAGGAACCTTTGGCAACTTTAGCATCATACAGGAGAGTAAAGGTTGGTCAAATTCTCTTATAGCTAAATAAATGTATTTTATATATTTGATTCATCCTAGGCATCACCGGTCTAATATAACTATATACATAAATCAGGGAAGGATTTTATTTGGCATACTGCTGAAATATGCATCTGTTAATGGAGAGCAGCAACAAGGTGATTCATGGCTGCATGTGGGGCAGGAAGTGCATCCAGATTGATGTATGCAGTTTATGAAATTCATTCTCAAAAGCTCCCAAATTCATGTCTTCCAAAACTACTGGAAAAGCCTTTGAAGTAGTGTTTATTGCCTCTGATAAAATATTATATAATTTATTAAATTTTTATGTTGTACAATTCTATAGGAGGATACTAGTATATGCTTTAATGTCAGAATAAGTATTGCAAAAATGTATATCAGTCATTAAGTTTGTTTCGATTAAGTAAAATGTACAACTTTATTTCTCATTAAAGTTATTATATAAGTAACATATATTTATATAATTCAATTTATTACTAATAGTTTAAAATTTTTGATTTAATTATAAAACGAGAATATAACAATTCATTATAACAAAGTATCATGTTGATAATTTGTATCAAATTATATAATTGGGTTAATATCTATTTTATGTTTGCTATAGGAATGATTTTTAAAAAATTATATAAAAGAACCCTTCTATTTTATAAAGATTTCTCTGTTTTTATCTCTCATCAAACTAATCACAAAAAAATGATGTGACATTGTTATTTGACTATTTTATTTTTTTATATGTAGTTGATTTTTTAATTATTTTTTCTAAATGCCATGTAAACTTTTTTATTTTATATTTTTTATTATTAATATTTTAAATAAAAAATCAAATAAATATTTTGCAATTGTCCAGGATTAAACACAAGACCTTTGTGTAAAATTACTTTGACCAAGTAGGATTTTAAAAAAAAAAAAAATAAAGATAAAAAATGGTGGGAAATGCTCTTTTCACTCCTGGTAGTGCCTTCTATATCTTTGAAATTTTGAAAATGTTCTTCATACGTTTGGAGATGTATCTTCAGATGCACCTAAAATCACACTAATCTTGTCTTTTTTGAGTGTCACTCAGTTAAAAAAATATATAGTCCGGAGATGCATCTCCTTATACAATTTGGATGTATTCGGAGATGGATTTTTGAAATACTCCCTGCACTCATTTATGGAATTTTGTTATTCACTCAATTGATTTAAATAATAAATTAGTGATATTTCCGAGCATGCATATCTGAAAATGCCCAGTGTAAAAGTTGATAAAACATCCCTTTGCATGATCTTCCTCTTCATGCTAAAAGAGAAAATTAATTGCAAAACTCTTACAAATATTTCTCTCATTCTCAATCAACATTTCAACACCAAAACATTATTCTTGTATTTCATCACTTCAAAGGGAGTAAAACAAGGAGTTAAAGGTAAAGATTATTCATTTTATCAATCATTCCTTGCATTAATCTAGTGTTTGAATTGAAGAATGAACGTTGAATCCGGACATGCATCTCTAGACGAAGTTAGGTTAGTTTCGTATGTGCATATTTGGAGGGTCCTGTTAGTTTGAATTTTAACATTGTTTTTCTGTTATTGGTGGTAATAGATATGGTGCGTCCGGATATGTTTTCCAAACTATGTGAGTGTGGATGTTAAATCGATCGAAGTGAAGCATGATGTTAAAACGGATAAAGTGAATGAGGATGTTAAATCAGATGAAGCAAATGATGATGTTAAAACGGATAAAGTGAATGAGGATGTTAAATCAGATGAAGCAAATGATGATGTTAAACCGAGTGTTCGATCGGTTATTGTCGAGGTAGATATTCCTGCATAATTTATAAATAAAAAAGTATTTTTTGTTCGTGAACATATGCTACAACGGGTCAGTAGGGAGACCCGAAATTTTGGGTTTAGTGTTGTAACCAGAAGATCCGACAATAGTCCAGATAGAAGACAAACATTTGTAACAATGATATGCGAAAGAAGTGGCACGTACCAACCAAAGATTAGGAAGTTGAAATAAGATGACATTGGATAGAGGAAATGTGAGTACTCGTTCAAATTGCGTAGATATTGTAACACCCTGATATTTTATATTTATATTTTAATTGAATTAAATTAATTTTGTTTAATTATTTAAGTGATTTAGAATGTTTTTAATTATTTATTTTGCTGATAATGTGTGTTCTATTGTTATTTAGCACTTATGGGTATTTTTTGGATATTTACAGAGTGATATGAATTGATTATAATTATTAGTTAATTTTATGTGTTTAAAATAATAGAATAATAATTAAAATAAATAGAAAATGGTGGAATTGTGAGAATTGAGTGAAAATTGAAATTAATAGAAAGATGGGGTAAAGTGACAATAATTAGAAAAGAGTTGGAGCTAAGGTGTAACTATTGTATTCAATAATTAGGTTTATTATTAAAAAAGATTAGTGGAGGCCAAATTTTACCGTACGTGAAATTTTTGGGAAGGAACTTTTGGGGAAAAGAGGAAATCAAGGGTTTAAGGGAGAAGGGGATTCCATAGCCTAGAAGATTGCTTGCTTTGTTGTAAAATTAAGGTAAGAGAGAATTACTCTAACAATAAGTGTCAAATGCATGAAGGGTAGTGAGGGACCCTTACCCTCTTCTAGGTTTATATTTCTTTATTTCTGTTGTTGATAATGGTGTGTTATCAATATGAATTGGTGATGAATCTGTTATGATTGATGATATCAATATGAATTTTGTGTAATATGATTATGTTAATTGTTGTTCATGATAATTTTCCATGAGTATGATTGTTGTTGTTGAAAGTGATGACTTTTGATTCCATGAACGTAGTTTTGAATATGTGAGTAATTGACGAATTAAGCTATTAATTGGTGTGAAATTAACATGTTCAATATGATATAATTATTGTGTGTCAAATTATGAGTGTTTGTCTTTTTACGGATTCGAAATCGGAGGTCTGGAAGGCCTCTCCAATGGTGAAAAACTAGCAGAAAAATGATGCAGACTGATTTGATATGAAACATGGGGGTACACAATGAAACTTAATTTGAATCATAGACTCCTGGTGGCCCCTGCTTGCTTTGATTCGAATCACAGATTACGCATAATTCGAATCATGAAGACATATTTTGTTTAAAATACTATTTTTTTCATAACTTGAGTTTTGTGAATCCATTTATGGTGTGATTTGAAGTGTTAGAAAGATAATGTGTAGCTCTATCTCATTAAAATAATAGAATAATAATTAAAATAAATACAAAATACTGAAATTGTGAGAATTGAGTGGAAATTAGAATTAATAGAAAGATGGGACAAAGTGACGATAATTAGAAAAGAGTTAGAGCTAAGGTGTAACTATTATATTCAGTAATTAGGATTATTATTAAAAAGGGATTAATGGAAGCCAAATTTTAAAGTACGTGAAATTTTGGAGAAAGAACTTTTGGAGAAAAGAGGAAATCAAGGGTTTAAGGGAGAAGGGGATTCCATAGCCTAGAAGGTTGCTTGTTTTGCTGGAAAATCAAGGTAGGGGAGAACTACTATAACAATGAGTGTCAAATGCATAAAGGGTAGTGAGAGACCTTTATCCTACTCTAGGTTTTTCTTTCTTTCTATTGTTGATAATGGCGTGTTATCGATATGAATTGGTGATGAATCTATTGTGATTGATGATATCAATATGAATTTTGTGTAATGTAATTTTTCTAATTATTATTCGTGATAATTTTCCATGAGTATGATTGTTGTTGTTGAAAGTGATGATTTTTTATTCCATGAACGTAATTTTGAATATGTGAGTAATTAACGAATTAAGCTATTAATTAGTGTGAAATTAACATGTTCAATATGATATAATTATTATGTGTTGAATTATGAGCGTTTGCCTTTTTATTGATTCGAAATCAGAGGTCTGGAAGGCCTCTCCAATGGTGAAAAATTAGCAGAAATATACTGCACACTGATTTGATATGAAACATAGGGGTATACTATGAAATTTGATTTGAACCGTAGCCTCCTAGTGGCCTCTGTCTGATTTGATTCGAATCACAAATTACACATAATTCAAATCATGAAGACAAATTTTGTTCAAAATACTATTTTTTTTTCATAACTTGAGTTTTGTGAATCCGGTTAAAGCGTGATTTGAAGTGTTAGAAAGTTAATGCATAACACTATCTCATGAAGATGTCCTAAGAGACTAAATGTGAATTTAAGGGTGTGAATAAATTTTTCCCTTAAGGTGTAATATCATGTGACTGTTCATGATGGTGAAAGAACTTTTAATTGTTGTGATTAGTTGATGAACACCTTATGAGGAGTGATGTTGATGTTGATGCATGAATGATTTGTGAAATTTGCATGTATGATTATGTGAAGTGTTATAATTAATTTCATAATTATGATTGGTGAATTATTGTTGTACATAAATATTAATATGCTATGTGAATATGTGTGTTGTTGTCAAGCTTATGTAAATTATTCAATGGTGAGTCATAATGAATAAGCATGAACATTTTTCATGCATCATTTGTGTGTGAACTTTAGTTACGTGGTGTGATATGGTCCAGTGGTAGGATCGGAAATGAGTAGTTGATTTTGTATGATGGAAACAACAACGCGTTGTTAATTTAATAGTGAGAAGTGACGATTTTGTGTGATCTGGTTCAGTAGTTAGATTGAGAGAAAGTAGTTGAATTCCCTAAATGGGAATTCCGTAAAGCGGTAATGTTTCTATCGCGATGATCAATAACAATTTTTGTTTGCTCTGGTCTAGTGGTGTGATCGGGATCGAGATGGACAAAATAATTGTTCTGGAATGGGCTAAGACATGTCCCATAGACGGGCAGGCCCAACCCAATGCTACTTTAGGGAGGCCTAATAAGGCCCAATACTCCCATGTCGGGCACACTTCTCAACAAGGCCTCTCAGTCGGGCAGACCACTACTTGGCTCAGGGGGAGCTCACGCGTCCTCCACGTGTCCCCCACACGGGGACACGTCATCAGACAACTATCCACTTCCGAAAGAGTTGGTCAGCCCACCTTCCAAAGATCACGGGACAGTTGATCCAGAGCGAAGACCACATGCAGGTCTTCCCTACGCCACGTAAGCCCTGACAGTTACTTGTGTTGGGCTTGGCAATCTGACCCAATGCAATGTAACCGTTGACCCTGCACTGGGGACGCATTATAAATAC